AAAAGCTCAAAATTATTTTACAAAAAAATATGCAAGGCTAATTTACATTTTAAAGACCTACTATTTAAAATATGAAAAACACCTTCCAACATAAGTAGCAACACCTTGTTGCAAACGAGTTAGTCGAGCTTGATCACATGATACCTAAGCTTGAGCTCAAGTCCTTTGGCTCGATTTGCTAACAAAACGAACTTGAGTGCGACTCGTTTATTAATATTAATAAGTTGAATTCAATCTTTAACGAGCCGAACTCAAATCGAATTATATAAAATTACATAAAAATCTTTATTTTTAATCTGGGTCCATTAATTATATGAACTCGAGTTTGAATCATAATTGCGAGTTAGAGCCTTAACGAAATGCTCACGTAACGACTCATTTAGTTATAAGCAAAACCCTCCTTAAAATAAAAATGATTCAACCAATCACATATTTGGCAGATTGTTCAATGTTGAGCCTTTCATTCAACTTAGTCATTTTTGAATTATAATCTATATCTATATCTATATTGTTATACCACAAATACCTGAACCGCTCGACCGCTCCTCTCGAACCGCGTTGAGCCTCCTCGATCGTCGGTACCTGCAAAACACGCCGGGGCTGGTCCCGACACGGACATTCCGACGCTCAAGTCAGTGATGTATCCGGGAGAGAAAACGGCAGAGTAACAATGTAACGAGTGTATGTGTGTTGTGTAAAATGAATGAACTTGTGGCCTTTTATAGGTGAGGTCATGTACAAGCCAAAGAGTTCTTGTCGGTCCAGAAGTCTTCCTCGTGTTTATCTCTAAATTAGGTCGAAGATGTCCAGAACTTCAGAGTCCTTATCACTACAAACTTCCTTGTGACTTAGCCACGAAGCCACCGTCGGGCTCTGGTTACCTCAACCGAACCCTCTGGCCTAGCTGCCTAGGTGCCGAGGTGCCTAGCTGCCCAGGTGCCGGAGCGCCTAGTTGCCTAGTTGCCTAGCTGCTGAGATGCCCCACTAAATATAACTGTGACTAAACTCGAACCACGACCGATCCTCCAGGAACCGCTTCTCATGACTATATCATATCATATATCATATCATATATCTATACAATGGACCAATCCTTATTGCCATAATTGGCATGATATTGGGGGGAAATTTTTTTTGTCTATATTTGGCGTTTAATTAATATTTATTTATTAGCAAATCTTATGCATAAAAAACATAATTGATTTTTATACACTCAATGACTATTATTCATTAACTACAAATTGACTTATATTGAAATTTTCACCGTAAATTTATTAGATATATTTTCAATAAGATCTTATATTAATTTAATAGTAATTTATTGACACAATTCAAAAAATTATTATGTAAATTGATTTGATTAAATATATTATCATCTATGGGTGTAGGTATTAATTTAATTAATTATATTCACTATTCAGAATAATTTAAAATATTTAATAAAATAATCTGAATAACTATGTTTAAATCATAATAACTTAATAAATAATTATAATATTAATAAAAATTTCTAAAATATAGTCAATTTAACTATAAAAAGGTACATCTCCGTTGAATATATCATATGTAAGTGATAATATTATTGAAAATTTAAATAATATACTAATAAAAATAAAATTTGATGGTCGTGTGCAATTCTGAATTATAAATTTCATCTTAGAAGTATCTATGTACATAAAAAAACTATTCAACTTTTTAAAATATATATATATATATATTTTTCTTATATATTATTTTATAAATGAAAAATAAGTTAATAAAAAAGCAATGCATGATAATTTAAATTATAGCACTTGGTAATTATGGAAATATATAATATATCTAAATATCGAATCGATACTATGTACCTCATTATATAGGTTGAAAAAATAAATTAAAGAAATTGATATAAATAAAAAATGAAAACATAAAAATAAAATATTTAACCATAAAAAATTTGTATGTTGCATAAGGATTAAAGTTACTAAAAATAATATCTATTTATCAAAGTTTTTAACATTTAATGCAATTAATAATTATAGCGGAAGATAAATATTATGGGTTAAACGTTGGTCAATTATCAAGTAATGTGCAAATTATGAATTGTTAAAAAATTATAAGACTATGATAAACGACAATTTTATAAGTACATACAAGTAATTTGTATGCAAATACCATATGAACTTATATATTTATAGTATTTTATAAACTCATAAATAATAAAATTATATATTAAATAGTCAAAAACTACAAAAAAAATATATAAAAATAGAAATTAACAATAATAGTAAATAAATAAATGTCATATTATTACTGAATAAAATCTTTTAGAGAAGATAATTTCATATTGTCTTAAATAATTTTATAATATCGAATAAAAATATTTTTTGTATTGCACCCCGTGCATCGCACCGGTATCAACACTAGTTTTATATAGAAGTGATAAAGCGACAACAACTAGAAAGCATGCTAAAAGAAAAACATATAAAATAAAACACGTTAAGTTAACGGCGTGCACAGAAAAATAACGGCGTCCAATAGTCTTACTTTAAGAGCATGCTTGTTTATAAAATATTTTGCCCACAAAATATTTATATTCAAAATTTAACTCAACTTTAACTCAACTCCACTATCTTTAATATTATTTATATAATTAAATAATATAAACCAATCATTTTTACATATTACATCAACTTTAATTCACTATTCATTTATCTATTACTTTTACATCAAATCAATAATAATTATTATTTTAAATATTATTTTAATATATTATTAAAATTCTATTAACAACTAACCATACTACATTTTTTAAATTTAACTCTAGTCAATAATACTCAAGAGCCAATTGTAACTCTAGGTAATCAAAATATTTCATAACAGTTTGCAACTTCGCATTTCCAGCTTGGAAACAAACGACCGTTTGCGAATCCGAATCACTGACGCCAGCAAGCGGCGCTGGGAAATCCCCGACAACATTCTCCCCCGCCGCCGCCGCCTCCGCTCCTCCCTCCTCCACCCATCTCCGCCGCAGATCTCTCTCCCGAGCTCGGACCTGCTCTTCTCCCTCCACAACACCACGCCGTTTGGATTCACCGTCCGCCGCCGCTCCTCCGGCGAAACCGTATTCGACACCACGCCCCTCGGCCGCGATGCCGCCACCTACCTCATATTCAAGGATCAGTACCTCCAGCTCTCCTCCTCGCTGCCGCCGCGGACCTCCTACCTCTACGGCGTCGGGGAGCACACGAAGGGCACCTTCAAGCTGCAGCACAACCAGACACTCACCCTCTGGAACGCCGACATCGCCAGCGCCGCCGTGGATCTCAACCTGTATGGGTCCCACCCTTTCTACATGGATCTCCGATCTCCGGGTGGGCTGGCTCATGGAGTCCTGCTGCTCAATAGCAATGGGATGGATGTTGTGTATGCAGGGGATCGGATTACATACAAGGTGATCGGAGGAATGCTTGACCTGTATTTCTTTGCCGGGCCCACGCCGGAGCTGGTCATGGAGCAGTACACGGGCCTCATTGGCCGGCCAGCGCCTATGCCTTATTGGTCGTTTGGTAAGTAGGACAATGCTAAAATGATTAAATTGGCTTCCTGATGCTTATACTTGTAGTCCGAGAATTACCTATGTGTTCTTGATATTTGAATTGGGCGTTTTTGTTTGTTTGTCTCATATCTTGCTTTAGTTCAGACTTCAGGAGGAAAGAAATGATTTATACCTCTTAATGGAGGATTGATGTAGCCTTTTCTTTGATAAAAATGTTTCTGTATTGGAGTTTATGCATAGCGGCCTCTGAGGAATATGCTAAATCAGAGAGAAACGTGATGAAACGAAACAATATGCTGAAGATTTGAATTTTGAAGTTGGTGTTTGAAGAGAAAGTTGTCTGCAGATGCCTTGAAAATAGAAACGCAGCAATGAAGAAGCTGAATTAACATGCTTAGTTTTAATGTGGTTCTCTATCTGACTTGAGTTTTATGATGTGTTTACGCATATATCAATATTTTTGGTTCGATCAGTATAATCAGAGTGATGAATCTAGATTTGTTAATGAGTGCACCTAAAATTGATTTGTATCTTGAATTGAAGTTCTTCTACAAAACATACTATGTAGATTTTTTTCTTTTTTTTTTTTTAAATTTTCGGTTCCCTTTGTTTGTAGGCTTTCACCAGTGTCGATATGGTTACAAAGATGTACATGATCTTGAGAACGTGGTTGCTGGTTATGCGAAAGCAAGAATCCCTTTAGAAGTTATGTGGACAGATATTGATTATATGGATGCTTACAAAGACTTCACCTTAGACCCCATCAATTTCCCAGTGGATCAGATGAAGAATTTTGTCGACTCACTTCATAAGAATGGTCAGAAATATGTTATCATCATAGATCCTGGTAAGCTCGTCAAATTAAATAACTAAGTTTTATTGTTTCTGATTGGAGCTATAAACGATATTGTAACACAACGATGCACCATAAAACTGATGATTTCTAAAATAAAAATTACTAGTACAAGATTCATGTGATATGTAGTTGTTGAATTAAGAAATGTATGCATAAATTTTTTTTCAAAAAGCAAATGTAAAAGTTTTTCAGTTGAAATTTTCAAATACTTCTTAGAAAATGACGCCCATGTTTTTAATTACATTAGTTTACCACCCTGTGTAGCACATAAGGTTTTGTCAATTTATAATAATCTTTCTAACACATATCATATACTGTCCGCATTGATAGAGAAGTTTAATTTTTATCAAGCATTTAGTAGAAAACATGTATCACATCCATTTGATTGGTTAGTTTCTGCTTAGATTTGTACATTGGTTAAATTTAGCTCACAAACAACATAAATCTCACCATGGTATAATAAATCACAAGTTCCAACTCCTCATTATTTGCTATCTTATTTGGAGTAGCTTCTTAAAAACTGCAGGAATCAGTGTGAATGAAACATATCCTACCTACGTAAGGGGATTGCAAGCCCAAATCTTCATAAAACGTGATGGGGTCCCTTATCTTGGCCAAGTTTGGCCTGGATTAACTTACTTCCCCGATTTTCTAAACCCTGACAGTGAAACTTTTTGGACTAACGAGATCAAATTATTTCACGAAATCCTCCCCATCGACGGACTCTGGATCGACATGAACGAGTTATCCAATTTCATTTCATCACCGTCCAATCCATCTTCTACCATCGATAATCCTCCTTATAAGATCAACAACTCGGGTTATCTACGCCCGATCAACGAGAAAACTGTACCAGCAACAGCACTGCACTTTAGTAATGTCACGGAGTATGATAGTCACAATCTCTACGGTTTTTTGGAATCTAAGGCTACTCATGCTGCCCTAGCTAACGTGACTGGTAAAAGGCCGTTTGTGCTGAGTAGGTCCACTTTCGTGGGTTCTGGCAAGTACACAGCACACTGGACCGGAGATAATGCCGCCACCTGGAATGACCTGGCATACACGATACCGAGCATCTTGAACTTTGGACTTTTTGGTATACCGATGGTAGGGGCTGATATATGTGGTTTTTCGGGAAATACAACCGAGGAGCTCTGCAGACGGTGGATTCAGGTCTGTGAATGTAATGCGTGCTTGTTTACAAATTAATCCTCTCAAAATGAGGTTTTTCGATTAACCAGGGTTAATTTTGAAAAAGTTGGATGGTTAGTTGTTAGTGGGATTTTGAGTTTATATTAAAATAATATTTAAGATAAAATAATTAAATTTGATTTGATTTAAAAGCAGGAGAGCAATGGTGATATGAAGTGATAGTTAGTTAATATTATGTGAGTGGATGAATAGTGAATTAAAGTAGATGTTCTTTGTAAAAATGATTGATTGGAATTGTTTAATTAGATTGATAATATTGAAGATAGTGAGGGTTGTGTTAAAGTTGAGTTAAAAAAAAAGTGATTGAGTTAAAAATGATTGGTTATTTTTTATTTTTTTTTTGATCAAATTCATATCCAATCACACCCTTAGAACTTACTGGGGTATTTGCAATTATTACTCTATTCTACTGTTATAATTTTTCTTCAATGGTATTTCTGTAATAATTTCCACACTTTCAAGTTAAAAGATGCTGACTTTAAGTTTTCTTAACGGTTTGTATTTGCAGTTAGGCGCGTTCTATCCATTTGCCAGAGACCACTCTGAAAAAACCACGATCCGTCAAGAGCTCTACATTTGGAATTCAGTAGCCGAATCAGCAAGGAAAGTGTTGGGACTTCGCTACCGATTATTGCCCTACTTTTACTCGTTAATGTACGAGTCGCACTCCAAGGGCACACCCATTGCCCGCCCAATTTTCTTCTCATTTCCTAATGACACGAAAACTTACGAGATTAGCTCTCAGTTTTTACTTGGCAAGGGAGTCATGGTCTCGCCTGTGCTGGAACCTGGAGCAGTTTCTTTAATCGCATATTTTCCAGCTGGAAACTGGTTTGACCTATTTAATTATTCATATTCTCTGAGTTTAAAAAAAGGGAACTATGTAAAGCTTGATGCTCCTCCCGATCATATAAACGTGCACGTTCATGAAGGAAGCATTTTGCCCATGCAAGGAGAGGCAATGACTACACGGGCAGCTAGGAAAACGCCTTTTGAGTTATTGGTAGTTGTAAGCAATGATGGAAATAGCTCGGGCGAGCTTTTTCTGGATAACGGTGAGGATTTAGAGTTCGGGGGCCATGGAGGGAAATGGAGTTTCGTGAGATTTGAGAGCCGTTTAGTGGGATATACACTGATCCTTGAGTCGAAGGTTTTGAATGGCGAATTTGCCCTTGGACAGAAGTGGATTGTTGGTAAGGTTACGGTTCTTGGACTGAAGACTGGTTTTGGGAAGATCAAAGGATGTCGACTAGAAGCAAATGGGATTAACAGACAGGAGAAATTTGCCGTCGAAGGAGGGAAGAATGGATTTATGATTTTAGAGGTGTTGAATTTGTCAGTGCCTGTTGGGGAAGAGTTCAGATTGGAGTTTACTTCACAAGCAACTGCAGATTAAGGTGAGGTTTAAAGCTTTTGTAATGAATAAAGAATTTGGGTATTGTTTGTTTCGTGTAAGATGCAATTTTAGTTGTGCTAAACGGCCATTAGACGGTGGCTGAGCTTGTTGGACCTTTTAACATCTAACAGTTTCTGTACCAGAATAAAGAATATAAGTAANAAACATCAAATTCAATCAATTGAATTATCGGAACAAGAAGGGCAGTATTAATTTAATTTATATTATCTCAAAATACTCTCCCTCTTTACCAAGTTAGATTCTGTGAAGACTAAAGACTAGGGATGACGGACATCAAATAGTAACACCGAAAGCAAACGTCTAGTTAAAAGTTAAAACTAAAATTTGGATACAAAATTTTCACTCAAAATTGATTTTTTTTTTAGTTAACTAAGGTTAATTTAGAAAAATATGATATGGTTAGTTGTTAGTGAGATTTTTGAGTTTATATTAAAATAAAATAATTAAAACTGATTTGATGTAAAAATATGACAAAGATGATGTGAAATGATGATGAGTTAAAATTATGTGCATACTCTCTCTTGAGATTAGCAATGCTCGTGAACTCTGTTTAGCTCAGTTTGTTATAACTCGACGCCCGAAGCGAAACAAGCACATACTTGCTCGTGAGATTAACAATGCTCGTCAACTTTGTTCAGCTCAGTTTGTTATAACTCAAGCTCGAATCGACTCAGTTTGTAAGACATATGAACTTTTATTTGGTATTCTTAATCTACCAAAACAAAAAAGGTGAAACAAGAGGTAGACTATACATGTTATTGAAAAATGTTGTAGTCCCGGAACTATTTCTCCATATAAAACTCTAATAATAAATTGTCACGTTACTTTTGTTTGAATACATCTAATAGTTTATATCAAAACTAAAAGATCTAATAGCTTATATTAAATTGAGGGAACCAAAACTAAAAAATCTAATAAACATATTGAATCGAGGTAACCATTTTTCCACGAGACTCTAGTCATTCTCACATCTATATATATATAATAAGAATTAATATTTACCATAAATAGTAGTAAGAAAAGTCAAAGCACATTCATTATATACTATTTTCAACAATTTATTTATTTTACATTTTAATTTTAATTCATTATCAAAAATTGGATGGTTCCTAAATTAATGGGTTTTAGATGCACGTATCTTGTTTCAAAAATTATAAAATCATTTAAAATCGGATGGTTCCTATGTTAATGTTTATAAACTTTTCAAAGTTGTAATCTTTATGGCATCTTTTCTTTTTGACTTTTAATAATAAAATCATTTTAAATATATATATTCTAATCTAAAAATTCAATCATGTTAATATATATATATATATATTGAACGCTAAAAATATTCTTTAAATTGCATATCCAATCAATTAATCTTGATTTTTTTTTAAAATTACTATGTTTATTTTTTATTAATATGCATAAAATAAAAATAAATAATTCATCTTTAGATATATAATTTACAATATTAATATATTATCATTTGGTGTAGATATATGAATCATAAATTTTTTTTATTTCATAAAAAATTACTTTGGATCAATCGGGTGATTGAATTAGGGTACTGCCCACGTTGATTGAATTACTTTTAGGTGATATTTAAAATAGTCAAAAACTTTGAAACAACTTGGTTAGTCCCAGGTAACTAAGTTATGTATCAGTTTGACCAGACCAAATCGATTATTGAACCTAAATATAAATTTTAATATTGAAAATACTTTATTACGTGAATGTGATGTAGTCCAAACTTTAAATAATCATATTAACAATACTTTTATAACAACATGATTAATGGTTTATGAATATTTATATATCATTTTATTATTATTTATGTGAACAAAATAATTATTTTATTATATTTTTTTATTAATGTACGGTAAATATAAGGTTTTCATAACCGGACCATCATCGAAACGATCAAGTTATTTTATTAAATCATTTGTGGTTGTTCAAATTTTAATACATAATACTTATATATATGTATATATACATATATATAGTACTTTGTGTAATTAATTTAAATAAAAAGTGTTACTTAAATATCTAAACAATTTATAAATTCAAATGTTTAAATTAATTGATAAACAATTTATAAATCTCAAATTTATTTAAATATGTAATTTTATTTAAAATTATTTTGAATGTAACAAAATTTGTTTAGAAAACGTATCGATCCTACCAGTCCAACAGACTGGTGTTGAAAGATTCGATAACAAATATTTTATTCAAGCGCACTAGACTGTTTATAAACCAGTTCTCGGTCCATCCAGTTAGACTGTGTCCAACCCGGTTTAATTTAAAAATAATGGATAAATCATGATTAATGTTATTTATTTATTCAATTTATAATACAATCAAAATATTATTTTCCCGTACATGCCACACACTAGTGTTATTTTAAATGAAATATTTAAAATGCTAGATTCCACCACTTCTTTTAATTATTTTTAAAAAGTTATAACAATTGTTACAATTATGAGACATAATGAGCAATATAAAAACATGCCACCATCGTTTGTTTTCAATGGAAGTCTTCTCTGGTTGGGAGACTCTCTGAAAAGAAGTCAACCACGTGAAATTGGGGAGGAACAAAAGTCAAATTTAATTGTTTCAATCAATCCCCCCAATTCCCACAAGAAGATCCGCTTATACCATTTTATTTATTATTTTATCTATCACAACTGTTGACGATACAGTTGAAAAAGTATTCGTCGGACTCTTCATATTTCGTAGTTCGAACGTTATCCCCAATTTCACCTCACAAATACTTCATCTTTGACGCGGGTAATAAATTCGCACGTTTGCAAGACAATTTCGATTCTGTTTATGCCACAATCTGCTCTTTGATCGGAAGTTCGTCTATTCATGCTTTGAATTTCCTTAATTCGTGAAATCCCTGGGCAAGATCTGGTCTTTTTCTTTTTTTTTTTTTTNAATTTATTGAATTCTCTAGGTAACGATTCGATCTGTGGTGGTGTGAGGTTGTTTCCAGCCTTTTCATCATTCGTTTATATATATATTTTATTTGTCAATCAGGATTAGGAATTATGCCTTCAGCTTTTGTATTTGTGAGCTCAACTGTTGTTTTGTATCTAAAAAATGTTAAAAATTTCATTTTTTTGTTATATATTGTTGGCTGCAATAATTATTTTTGTAATTTCTTTTTGGGGTGTTTTCAGATATGCAGAGTCAGCTTGTTTGTAGCGGATGCAGGACTGTGCTTATGTACCCTAGAGGAGCTCCTAATGTTTGTTGCTCTTTATGCAATGTGGTGTCTTCTGTTCCTCCACCCGGTAATCAATATCCACCTTTTGTTTCGAGCTAACTTCAATTTTTTATGCGAAAAAATTGTGTCAGTTAATCATTTTCAATGATTGCCACTATGCATGAATTGGGCATTTGGCTTTTTAAATTTCTGTTGTGTTGCTTGTGGATTGGTAATGTGTTTGTATTATTCTGCTTTTCATTCGTTTTCCTTCTTCAAGAATTTAGTGAATGTGAGTGGGGATTTGTGTAGGGATGGAAACGTCTTCATTCATTTTTTTTTTTTTGGTTTTGAGAATTAAGTGAATGTGAGTGGGGATTTGTGCAGGAATGGAAATGGCTCAGCTGATATGTGGAGGCTGCCGAACGTTGCTTATGCACGCACGCGGAGCCACCAGTGTGAGGTGCTCCTGTTGCCACACGGTGAATCTCGTGCCAGGTATAAATATGCAATTGAATGATTTTGCCATATAATTAAACTCGACCCATGTCCGTAAATTTTGATAATCCACGGCTAATTTTACTGAAAGTTCAAGTTTTGCCTAATCGTCTAGCATTAATTATTTACGCGGCACTTTTGAGCTGATTTTTACGGGGAATGGTCGATGTGCAGTGGCATCACCTCAGGCACCGCCACCGGCGAGCAATGTTGCTCATGTTAACTGTGGTAATTGTCGTACTATGCTAATGTATCCAGCTGGAGCACCGTCAGTTAAATGTGCAATTTGCCATTTCATCACAAATGTTAATGTTAGTGCCCTCAATTTTCCTACTCTCTCTCTCTCTCTCTCTCTCTCTCTCTCTCTCTCTCTGAGCTTGTTGTAGACTTGTAGTTGTGAAACTAACTGAAAGATTTAAGAGGACAGATACACAAGATTTATTGACCAGATGAAATAGTCAATTTCCTTTCTGTGTGACATTTGTTATATTTGGAATGATGAATAGCCAAATTTGGGAAAACTAAGGAAGTGAGATGAAAATACAATCAAGAAATGAAGAGTATCTTCCTCTTCCTAAAGTGGTATATGCGTGCCTACTTTACTTGGGAAAAGATGTACTGTTTACCGTTAAGTTAGAGATTCAGCAATTTGCGTTAACTGGTAAAATGAGGTACACAGGAAGATAAGTTCTGCTTGTCTAATCTGACGAGTTTCACGTTAATTGTGGCATTAGAATAAGAAGAATTTACAAATTCGTTGGTTTTGTTGCAACTCAACTAGACTATTATTTGTTGAGAACACCAAAACAGAGATCTTTACTGTATCTCTTTCTCTTTCTCTTTCTCTTTCTCGCGCACATATGTATCTTTGTAATAAATGTGAGACGGGCCGACCCGCCTAATGGTCGGGCCGCCTCATACAAGAGTTTGTGATATTATTATAGATGGATATATTTTTTATTTAGATCTGTTTTCTATTATGCAGGCTGGTGGCACAAGGGTCCCTATTCCTGCAAACGGGCCTGGTTCTACATCAACACCATCGAGTAACACGGTTTGGTTTCCTATTATGCACTTGTCCCTCTTTACTAAATTTCAGATATTCTTNAGATCTTGGACACTGTATCTCTACCAGCCTTGGGGACAAGCTTATGAGTGTGTTTGGTAAGCACCATAAGTGACTTATAGTTTATAGTTTATTTGATTAGCTTATAATCTACATTTAGTCAAATAAGTTTAGTTTGGTAGGACGAGTTTTTTTAAAAAGCTCGAGCTTATCCCATAAGCTTCATTCTTAACTAAGCTAGCTTATCAGCTAATATTGTTGAACACTTATTATATAAACTAGTTTTTTAGCCATAAGTCATAAACTATCATCTAGAAATAAGTTCAAAATTTACTTATAAGCTATCAACTAGGTTTACCAAACATAACTCTTAAAGGATTTGAACTTCTGGGTTCTGCTGCAGGGTACGAAACACACTTCGACTCAAACAGTCGTCGTGCAGAACCCCTTGAGTGTTGATGAAAGTGGAAAATTGGTGAGTTTAGCAAAGTTCTATTTGTTCTCTATATGACTTTCCTCAGTTCCTTTCTGCCGGTAATTAATTCGTGGCATCTTTTGCATTAAAGAAAAAAAAAAAAGATCTGAGGTGGTTTGTTTTTTAACCATAGGTGAGCAATGTTGTTGTCGGCGTTACAACATAGGATTGCAACGAATCTGGACATCCTAGTTCGGGTATGAAGGGTTTGAAGATATCTTTGTGCATATTATAATCAATTTGGTTTGTAAACTACCCGTAAAAAAAGTTTTTTCCCTTTACAAGAAAATAATCACTACGCAGTCAATTTGTGGATAGTCCTATCTTTACTTCCCTGTTGCAGTCGAGTGTTGTAAGTTGTTTGTCTCGAACTTGCTGGATTCGAGTCCGAGTTTTGAATGTAAAAGTACATGAAATGCAAATACTTGATCAAAATTTGACTTTTTCTATGTAGTCTGTGTAATCATACTTTTCAACATGTAGATGTAGTCTTTTGCAATTAATCGAACAGAACAGTTTCTATGTAGTCTGGTCATGGCTCTCAAACCAGCTAGATTAATTTTTAGATAATTCTTAAAAGGATGTTTCTCGTCATATTAAAAAAAGGTGTGTTGTGTAAGAAATTCTCACCACTATTGTTATTTTGTTTAGCAACATGATTGATTTATGGTTATGCATTTAAATTTTTTCTTAAAATAAACAACGAGAAATATTTACCACATTCGGTCCAATACCTAAGAGCATCTTTAATATTGTTTTTGACATTATAAAAAAAATCATTCATATCATTAACTTTTGAAAATGCGTTACCAATTTATTCTTCACTGCATCTTGTCACATATAAAAATGTATTTTTGTTAAAAAAAAAGTATAACAGGTTGACCGCCTTATTGTTAAGTCGATTCATACTATAATTTGTATTTTTATAGATAATAAATAGGCAAAATCTCAAGAGCAATTTCTTTTGTCATTTACACTGTACATAATTGTTTAAATCGACTAATACACTAATTTGTATTTTTATGAATAATAAATAGGCAAAATATCATGTGCAGTTTCTTTTGTCATTAACACTGTGACAGTTAACACTCTACATTTAATACTCTTCCAAATTTTAAACAACAAAAATCATTGAACAAAAAGAAATTTCAAACACAATAATAAGATATAGAATCACCTACTCACTTCAATACGACTGAAATGTTTCTTATCATCACTACTGCACTCTCTTTTTTTTATCTCTAAATCACATACGTTGTCCATCGATCAAGACTAAAATGTTTCTTATACTTAAGATAAGAACTACACGTGAATTGGACCATGCGGTCTAACGAATTGAACAGTCATGCACCTGGCCAAGAACGGACAGTTCAACACCCCTATATAAAGGGGGTGGACACCGTGTACTTTACTTGATCGTCGGAGTGCTAATACCGAGAGCAGGTCCATGTTGTAGATCTAGGTCTTTGAACCAGTCTAGAAGCAGATCCAAGTCGTTCTAGCTCAGTCGAAGCCTTTTTACACACCACCTCCCAATTGTAAAAGTAAAATAGAAATAATAAATTGATTATGAATTCTAATTATTGTGTATTTTATTTGGACTTCCACCTTGTCTCCATTGGGCCCGAATTTGGACTTCCTTGAGGGATTTTTATGGGCTAAATATATAAATTGTGGTGCAGCCCAGTTATAGTCTATACTCTGTCCTCACACATATATCCAATTTCTAAATCATTCTCTTGTCAACATTAGGGTTTCTCGACATCTATTGCGGTACCGTAGAAGGAGAGAGGGCGACAAAGCGGACACTTCTGCAGGAATCTATCTACGTACCGCAAACTTTCGTGCCCTTGCCCCTTCTGGGCAAATTTTCAGGAACTAATATTGATTTTATTATCGTTCAATGTCTTACACTTTGGTATCTTACCGTTCTTGGTAATTTTTCGGAAAAAAAAAGTATATATAATTCATTTAATTCAATGCTTATGTGCGCAGTTCTTATGATTTAATATTTTCCNAAATACAACTATGATAACATTCATTGGATACATTGGCTTAGAATATTTTCGTGTCTTACACTATGTGTTTTGACCGAAATTTTTCGAAAAAAATAAATAAATTAATTTCATCGAATTATCCACAGAACTCATGTATATGTTTCTGTTAATATATTGATTAGTATAAAAATAAATTCCATTTTAGGATAGACATTTATTTTATTTTATTTTTTACAGCGAATATTTTCTTTCCGATCTATAAATATATAATTTGACCTTCAATAAGTTTCAATTTTTATTGCAGGATCAACGGTTATGTGGACGGTAGTTGTGTCATCCGCTGCTTACTTAGCCAGATCTAGGACGGTATTTCCAGCATCCGCTTTTATCGAGCTGGATCTACTTCCCCGAGCCCCACTTTATGGGGTAATTGTTTTACTTTAAGCTTTTAGGATGTATAAGTATTCTTCTCTTATCTCGATCTTCATTGTCATGGACACAAGGAAGTGTATATGGTGAACAAAGGGTTGGTGATGAAAAAATAAATAACAGAAAAAAGGTCGACACCGATGCTCAGTTGTTTAGATGAAAAGTGTCGGTAAAGTAAATCTCATAAAAAATAAAGTTCAGTGAATTTGAACTAAAAAAATGGCTACAGCAATAAAAAACTTCATAAAAGATAAAAAAGAAGATCCTTCCTGAAGCTCTATGCTGCAAAATCTTGTTTTATTTTTGTGACACGTTCTGTTCTCAAATAATATGCTCTGTTGTGATTAATGCACTATCTTGTTAGTAAGTTGCTTCTCATTTTGAAAAAATAATACCAATAGTTTTTTCTACAGAAAGAAAGATTATGGTTTGCTGATGGTTTGTTGATGTGGCGCTACTTTGTTGGAAATCGCTCACTGCAGGGACGTGCTATTTAGGGTCGGAGAAATCGGAGGAGCGAACCATTTTAGCATATATGCCTGAGAATAATACTCTCTCTCTCTGCGTGAGAGTCTCAAGTTCAGCTCTCTCTCTGCCTTTCACGCAGATATAGTCACGCTGACGCCGCAACCCATCTTTCGATTTATCTCGTCTCTCACTCTCCGTTGCCGGCAGTCCAACCTCCGACTCGCTCGTCGTCACCGGCCTCAATTTAGGTCACCTCTCACTCTCAGTCTACTTCTTTCCTTTTCCCATCTCGTCCTTTTTCTTCAGTGACCAAAAACCCTAATTTTACTTTTCAATAAACATTGGGTAAATTTTATATGTTAAGCTTGTTATGCAATTTGGTGGGACTAATTTCAATTGGACCAGTGTTCTTCTACAATGGCCATTTTCAGTCAACCGAACCGAAAATTTTGGTGCGGTTTTGGTTCGGTCTTTCCTCAAAGTTCGGTGCGGTTCGGTTTGAACAAATGTACATTTTTGGTTTTCGGTTTTTTGTGGTTCGGTGCGGTTTTGCACCGAACCGCACCATGCTCACCCCTATTTCCTCATATCTATCCTTTCCTGATTTGTTCAATATCTTACTAATTTTGTCCAAATTATGCCGAATTTTGTGGTCTGTTGAAAAGATCTATACATCATTTTTTTTTGGTTGTTTTTAAAAAGTCCTCATGAATGATTTTTTAGTTGAAAAAGTGTGACAAACACGGCGGCCGATCTATGGTAAGATAAGACGTCGATCTCGAAGGTAAGATTCACAATATACTACCATATGTTGTATGAAAAAAGGATCATATGCTCTCTGGTTTCAGTTCCTCTAGAATTTCCGGAATTGTTGCCAGTTCTAAAGTTCTAAAGCTACCCATGGATTTTGATTCATTGCCATGGATGAAGATTTTACCTACAGCTCTAGATACCATGTGAATTTTGTAGATGAACGAAAAGAAAAAGAAAAACAGTGAAATTCATGATTGTAGTGATTCAGTTGCTGTGCATTTTCCATAAAATTGATGAAGATGAAGTTACATCACGAAATTTCCTTAATATGCCCACTCTCTTTCTTCTAACTGCCCTAGCTAATGGAACTTGGACAAGTGTCCTTTTTCATAGTGGTCCCAAAAAGCTGAAAATGAAAGGATAAATATCCTACTAACAAAAGTGTGGAAATTTGAACAAACGTTTTTCACAAAAGTTGAGTTAGATTTTGAATATGAATTAAATATGAGTAAATTATTCGGGAAACAAGCATGCCCTAAGAAATTTATTTGAAGTGTTCTAATGAAATCTGGTCTTGTGTACCAGTAAATGGGGATTTAGGCTTGCCAACAAGTATAATCGAGCAATGAATGCATTCAAAAAGGCATCCAAAGGACAAGAGATGCTTGGTCTTAGGCCTTGGGATGCAGTGAAACTCATAGAGTATGCAGGAGATATGACAAAGGAAGTGCCCGAATGGAATGAAGTAGTTGAGTGTTATAAACGTGCAAGTTGTATGTTGAGGCACGAAGGTCCCAGCTTGCATCCGATGCACTTGCAAAGGGTGCCCGGTACAGAAATAACTTTCAGTCCTCAGTCCTCTTATGTTTTTTAAAAAAAGAACAAGTAAATAATGTGTTAAACCTTTTTGTTGTGTTATCCGTGCTCTCTGTTAGAAGTGTTTATTTATCTCTTAAAGTGCTTTAGAAGATAAGTCCCCTAATCAAGCTATCAACTATACATTTACGTTGCTGCTTGTGATCTTCTTGAATAGATGGGAATGAACAGATGACATTTGATCTGCTGCTGTAGGCGTTTATGTGAAGCTTGAGAAGTAAGTATAAACTCCTCCTCTTAAGGGGAGTAATAATAAAACTGGCTCGGGAAACTACAAATCTTTCTTTGGTCGAAGTTTCTCAAACTGTAAAAATTGTTGGTTCAAGTATACAGTGTGTTGTGTTGACTATAATAAATCTCTTATATCTATTGGGTATCATTGCTAATAATGAAACATTGAAATTAAAGGGAATAATAATAAAAAATTTTAGTGATTTACCATATAGTAAATATTGGAAATAATACTTTGAGTTACACGCTTGATTTCCTTACCATCAGTGTATGCGCAGATAGTAGCTTAGTCGCAGCCTACAACCCACACAAAGTAGCCATTACAAAGCATAAGGTGTTACTAACTAAGTGATACCCGCTTATGCTTTGTAATGCCTACTTTGTCAGGGTTGAGGCTGCGACTAAGCAGAGCTGACTGATGGCGAGGAAATCAAGCGTGTGACTCAAAGTATTTATTTCCAATATTTAGTATGTGGTAAATCACTAAAATTTTTTATTATTACTCCCCTTAATTTCAATGTTCCATTATTTGCACTGGTACCTAATAGATAGAGATTTATTATAGGCAACACAACACACTGTATGAACCAACAATTTTTACAGTATACAATTTGAGAAACTTCGACCAAAGAAAGAGTTGTTGTAGTTTCTCGAGCCAGTTTTATTATTACTCCCCTTAATTAGGATTTAGAGGAGGAGCTTATACTTACTTCTCAAGCTTCACATAAACGCCTACACCAGCACGATACAGATCAAAGGTCATCTGTTCATTCTCATCTCTTCAAGAAGATCACAAGCAGCAACGTAAAGCTGGATAGTTGATAGCTTCATTAGGAGACTTATCTTCTAAAGCACTTTAAGAGATAAATAAACACTTCTAACAAAGAGCACGGATAACACAACAAAAAGGTTTAACACATTATTTAGTTGTTCTTTTTTAGGAAAACATAAGAGGGCTGAGGACTGGAAGTTATTTCCGTACCGGGCACCCTTTGCAAGAGTATCGGATGCAAGCTGGGACCTTCGTGTCTCAACATACAACTCGGCTGCACGTTTATAACACTCAACTACTTCATTCCATTCGGGCACTTCCTTTGCCATATCTCTTGCAAACTCCATGAGTTTCACTGCATTCCAAGGCCTAGGACCAAGCATTTCTTGTCCTTTGGATGCCTTTTTGAATGCATTCATTGCTCGATTATACTTGTTGGCAAGCCTAAATCTATTTACTGGTACACAAGACCAGATTTCATTAGAACACTTCAAATAAATTTCTTAGGGCATGCTTGTTTCCCAAATAATTTATTCACATTTAATTCATATTCAAAATTTAACTCAACTTTTGTGAAAAGCGTTTGTTCAAATTTCCACGCTTTTGTTAGTAGGATATTTATCCTTTCATTTTCAGTCTTTTTGGGCCATAAAGAAATATATTGATTGAATGATAAAAAAAAGCCCAAATTAGAAGTCCACTTAATTTTTTACGGTAGTCAAAATCAAATAGAGATAAATTCCTTAGAGTGATGTAAGCCATTATTTTTTTTTATGTCGGCGCTTCTCTCGTTATTCATTCTGTCTAAAACCCTAATCTTTAACCCGATCTTACGACAAACTCGGTGAGATTCAATACAAAACAACTGTTTTACCGGAGATTTTCTCCCGGTAAAGGCTTAAAAAATTTAAAAAAACATTCGAGAAATGTTGTTTTTGTGGCCAACAGTAGTGATCGAAAAATAAATATTCGTCCCGATTTCTTAATCTGTGTTGCTAAATCTTAACAGGTCGGTCAAAATCGGGTGATAATATTACAAATCTATGAAGAGCTGAAATATTTTTTGTTAAACGTAGTTTTGATTTTTTATTATTTTCAATGATATGTGTGGTTTTTCGAAATTCTTTGTGAATAAGCTTCAAAGATATATCATATTTTATACATAACTAGTATTCGACCTTGTGCATTTGCACAGATGTAAATAAAATTAAATATTATAAGTTATATTTATGTATATAATATAAAAAATTTAAGTTATATAATTGTATTATATTTCAAACATATAGTATTATAAGTCATATTTATGTATATAATATTAAAATTATAAATTATATAATAGTATTATATTTTAAAATTTGATCATTGGTTAAAATAAATAGTACACACGATTTGATTGTATACGAATCACTATATTGATTGCATAAATGTAATAAATATATACTTTTTATAATTTTGAGTGATCATGACCAATTAATTAGCTGAAAAATATTACATTTATTATAACAATTGCTTATGTGATTTTAAGAAATTTTACTATGACATAAAAGAATTAATTTATTAATAAACAACCGCTTCATCATATAAAAAAATATTGATTTTAGTGTAAAATATAATTTTATATAACTTTCATATATTATTTAGTATAAAATATAATTACTAATTTTAATATTAACTATTATATTATTCAATAAAAAAATATAATTATTAATCAATTAACATAAAATATAATAGTTTTTGTCTTAATTAACCCAAAAAAATGTAATGAAATATTTTCTTATTAATGAGATTGGGTGTATTATGCTACATAAATAAAATTTATTAGATTTTATTAATGATTTGCCACATATGTAAAATTTATTATGTTTTATTTATTAGGTAAAATTTATTGCTTGGCTAGCAATTATATATATATAGATTCAGAATTATTTAGATGTTTTTCGAAATCGTTTTTCGAAGAGAACATGACATTGGTTGAACTTTTTCAATCTTTTATGTATTTTGTTCAGGGTTTGAAAAAATAGTTAAGTTTCTAACAGATCAGCTCTACTAACAAATATATAGGTAAGTTTATAACATATATGTTCATATCTGTTTATAACATACATATGTAACTTTTATGTATTTTGTTCAGATTTTGAACACTAAATAGTTCAATTCTTTTTCGTCCTTCTCATCATATCAGTAAGTGAAGCTTTGCTAACATTTGTTCAAAATCGCTTTTTGAAGTTGTTCAAAGTCTTTTGCCGAATTTTTCCAAAATTTTTAGTATTTTGTTCAAAATTTGGAAATATTAGGTAAGTTTATAACAAATATGTTTAGATATATTTATTGCATATTAGGAATTTCTTGTTTAATGTTTAAAAGAATCTGTAGGAATTTTTATTTTTAAAACTTTTACGCAAAAAGTCGATTTTAATATAAAAAAGTTGAATGTGTTGATAATGATAGGGAAATCAAATTATTTTTCTTTCTATATTGTATAGTGTCTAATAATGTTCCAAATAATTTGCTGTGTTTTTTTATTTTTGATTTTTTCATGTAGATTTGACTTTTTTTTTTGTTGATTATTAATTATGCTTGATATTTCTATATTATGCAACAATCTGCCATTACGTACAATGTCTTGTCAATCCTCATTCTTTGACTTTGCCAATTTCCATTTAATATGACTTTTTTATTGCTGAAAGTATGGTTTTTAATGCATTAAAATATTGATGTTTTAAATATTTTTTGATCATATAATCATGCAAAAATTTGTCCCACCACTTTTTTCTGAAAGAGAAATTGTTTAATGAAAATTAATCATATTTATATTTATAATTGTGAAATAATATGTTTTTTTCACGGCCAACAGTTTTTTTTTTGGGTTAATTGCAAATAAAATTTAACCTTTTGTTTAATTGCAAATAAAACTCAACTTTTTCAATTTGGCAAAAAAATATCAAACCTTTAATAAGTGTTGCAATTGTGTCTCAATCACCTGCCGCCTCCGCCGGACCTCTTTTTTTAGAATCTGGCATGCATATCCATTTTTCTAGCCTGCTTAACTGTAAATTTCAAGATTGTTATCGTCATGAAGTTGGAGCTTTATCTCCCAACCAATTGTAAGCTGATCAATATTTTGCTTGAGAGGTGCAGAGTCCAATCTTTGGCCTTTTACTAAGTTAATCTTATACCACCTTGCATGCCTTTTTGGTTCTTTAATTGTGATCATATTTAATTATGAAGATTTTTCAGTCCTCTTTAGATATTCAGCCGAGATCTACCTGGAAAGGTCATCAAAAAACTCTCTTTATTACACTGGACACTGTCAGCCCTATTGTGGTACATATTTCACTCTAAGGACTCAATGGTTTTTAATTTTAGAGAAAAAAATCTTGAAACCTAAAAAACTCTTCTGATCACTGCCTTTTTTTTTGTTTTCTGCTTTACCCTTCTTCTATCAGAGGTAAAATTCCGGCTGCAATCAGTACACAACCATCAGATCGGCTAATGGAAAAGCATGTTACCAACAATAACAAGGAGGTCTCCTCATGAGGAGATGATTTCTTGATGGTGAGAGAATTGGGTTCCAACTCATTTTGTTTCTTTTTTCTTCATGGATTTTGAGAAATATTTTTTCAAAATGTTTTGTCTATATTTATCCGCATACATCAAAATCTGGTTTTTGTGTGTGTGTATGTGTGTGTGCTTGTGCTATATAACTAACATAGGAACTTTTTGGTACTATCAATAGATTTTCGTGAGCACCTATTTAGGAACTGTTTTTTGGATTAGTTCCCGTTTCCACTGTGCTGGTGCTTCATGTGCGTTCTTATTACTATTAAGACTTATTAACATTATATTGTGGATTAAATACTCTTAAATACTCTACTTCAACTTTTGTGGATTATTTTCTTTGATATCTATGTGTGACATGTTCCTTACAAATTTCATGTATGTTTGGATATTACTAGCAGTGATGCCCATGAAAAAATAGATACAAAAGAATAATTACCGCTGGAAAAATACAGGTTGAAACTGTGAGATCGGCTATTCTATATTATTTGAGGTATGGAATTCCTTTAATCTCACTTTTTTTGAAGATTATGACTCATGATATATGATGATGTATAATATAAAGTGAGATGTTCTTTATATTACTTTGTTATGTCAGTGCCCAATCATAGTATTATATGAAGAACTTAAAAATTGGATTATTCTAGCTAATACAATTCGTTTAAATTGATATGTGGAGTGAAAACATAAGTGTTTTTTGAGTTGCAACCATAGAGTGATAGAAATATTCAGATATTTGAGTTATATAAAATGTTTTTCCTACGTTCTTTTTTCATACAACTGAAAAATAAGTACCAATTCATTGGACGAGACCATCGTGGACAAACTATCGTGATACGTAGACCCTGCACCAATTGGTGGAGGTTTGTATGTTAGTATGTGCATGCTGTATAATATCCCTCTTATGAATATTATTTGCTTTGACTGGAATTTTGATGTATTGGTTATTGCTAAAGAAAAAATAAATGATTAAAATTATTAAAATAAATTGCAATGCTTACAGCGCCAAAGCAGAACCCAACTTAACCTTACCTCTCTTCCACATTTCTTTTTTCTTTTTTTGAATCCTCTCTTTCCCATTTCACTTCGGCCGTTTCAATTTTCAGATCTGGCCATGAGAGTCCTAGGTTTCCTCTCCAAAAACCATGCTACAAAATCAGTTTGGTTCACATTAAGGAGTAGTTTCACGCACACTCGGGTCAGAGCCCTATCAACGGACATCACAAGCACAAAATCCAAATTGCTCTCATCTCAAGGTCGAAATCCCACTGGGATCCCAAATCCCACTGAGTGCCCACCTCCCACTAAGATTCCAAATCCCCTTGAGTGTTCCAGAGAAGAGATGAAGGTAGATTTCTTTCTAAAAAAATCGTTTGTTTAACCTTCATCTCTTCTCTGGAACACTCAAGGGGATTTGGAATCTTAGTGGGAGGTGGGCACTCAGTGGGATTTGGGATTTCGGCCTTGAGATGAGAGCAATTCAGATTTTGTGCTTTGTGATGTCCGTTGATAGGGCTCTGATTCGATTGTGCGTGAAAGACTCCTCAATGTGAACCAAATCGATTTTGTAGCATGTTTTTTGGAGAGTAAACCTAGGAAGCCCATGTTTGAAAATTCAAAAGGCCGAAGTGAAATGTGGAAGAGAGGATTCGAAAAAAGGAAACAAAAAATTTGGAAGAGAGGTAGGGTTAAGTTGGGCTCTGCTTTGATGCTGTAAGCATTGTAATTTATTTTAATAATTATTTATTTTTCTTTAGTAATTACCAATAAATCAAAATTACAGTCAAAGCAAATAATATAATATTCATAGGAGGGATATTATCCAGTGCATTGCATGCACATACAAACCTCCACAACTGGTGGCAGGGTCTAGGTATCACGGTTTTCGGCATGGCCTACATGTTTGTCCACGAGTCTCGTCCACAGGAGATTCCAAGTGGGCCCCATCGCGAATGTGCCATACAAAACGCCTCCCTGTAGCTCTGTAAGTAGTAGGTAGGTAGCTCTCTGGCCTTCCCGGTATGTAATCGTTAGAAATTTTGTTGCATAGCTAAGAGTTTATGTTTTACAAAAAGTTTTATGGAAAAAATCTCATTTCCTCTGAAAGAGGATTTAAACTAACCCCTGACCCACTTTGGAGTATATTCATGATTCCCTCCGTTAATAATGACGGGATCCAAGTGTATCCAAAATCAAGTCGTAAACTCACTCTATCGCACACCTTGGCTAGGTAAAGTTTGATCGCCATCCAACCTTTTTTTTTCCTTTTATGCTCCCACATTCTATGTGGTAAGGTATAAACACCGGATAGTCTTTGAGCTCTTCCCTAATTTAAATTTTTACAAAAAGTTATATATCCTTTATAGATATAAAAGAGATCTGGCCTGCAGAGAATTTATGTTGTACAAAAAAATATATATCTAGATTATACATGTAGAAATTTTATTGTATATGCAATATATTTTTGCATTTACATTTATTCTCCGAATTTATGTTGTACAAAAAAATATATATCTAGATTATACATGTAGAAATTTTATTGTATATACAATATATTTTTGCATTTAAATTTATTGGTGAATGATGTTGCTATTTAATATAAATTTATTGTTAAAAGGATGTAGTTGCAATTGTATTTGTAATTTTGTGTTAAACTTTGTTCTTTGTAGATAGTATATATTGAGCACATTTCAACAAGAAAGTAGATTGAATAATGTAGATCAGTGTTTTCCATAATGCTAATTCGATTTTTAATATTTTCTTTGGAAAAAATTGATTACAAATCTGACAAAATCCCCAAACTTGCTTGTGGGATTCAATATTTTGATGGGGCAGCCAGAAAGAAAACGAAACGGAACAAGACCAGAGGGAAGTGGAAAGACACGGAAGAGACTTGTGTTTCTTCTAGATCATGTTCCGGTTTTTTCTGGCTGCCCCATCCAAATATTAAATCTCACAAGCAAGGGGGATCTTGTCCAGATTTGTAACCAATATTTTCTAAAGAAAATATTATAAATCGAATTAGGATATACTATCTACAAAGAACAAAATTTAACACAAATATACAAATACAACTGTAGCTGCATCATTCAACAATAATTTGTTAGTAAATAGCAATATCATTCAACAATAAATTTAAATGCAAAAATATATTGTATATGCAATAAAATTTCTACATGTATAATCCAGATATATATTATTTTGTAAATCATAAATTCTCTGCGGCCCCATGTCTTATAAAGGATATATATCCTTTTGTAAAAATATAAATTAGGGGAGAGCTCAAGGACTATATGGTGTTTATACCTTACCCCATAGAATATGTGGTATCCACTTTTATCGAGCTCGATGTCGATCTCGGCCGAGGTATTGTTTTGAGCTCCGATATGGAATCGGATATGGGCTGAGTGGTACGTGGAACCCAGGCCGGCTAAGATGAGTGCATCCACGCCAGTATTGATTTGTAAGTTCCTTTTAGACCCATGTTAATATTATTTTTATGTTTTTTTATACCCATATAGTACCAGGCTAAGTTTCCATTTTGATATTATTTAGCCAAGTCCATTTTAAACATGAAAAACCAATAAAACCAACATGTGGACATAATTCTCTTTGAACTATGGTTTTGTCATCCTCATCCCTTTTGTTTGGCTTGGTTTTTTTATTCATATTCATCTTGTCTTCTTGATTTTAGTATTACTCTTAGTTGCCATAGTACTCATGGTTTTTGGTTTTTTTATTCGCATTCATCTTGTCTTCTTGATTTTATTATTACTCTTATTTGTCATAGTTTTTTAATATTGGAATGATTAATGTGCCTTATTAAATTTTAGTAAATAATATAGGTGTGTTTGCTAAGAGCACCTTTAGCAATAGGTTTATGGTGGGTTTTNCCCCCCCCCCCCTCCTTTTTTTAAGAAAAAAACTCTGCAGCATTTTCTTTGAATAAAAAACCCCTCAATCCTCATACCTTTCATGGAAACCAGAATCATCAGAGTTTCCCCAATTCAGCTCATCTTCATAAACATTATATTATATTACAGTCCAATTTCAGCAAAATTTGTACTGTATTCTGTATCTGATATGCATTCTGTATCTGCAAATGCATCTGTACTATACTGTATTCTGTATCTGTATCTGATATTGATTGTAATTTAATATAAGTTAATAACTATAACATTAACATATATATATATATATATGTTAATGTCCCTGCCTAGAAAGTGCTGTATCTGTATATAAAAAATGGTTAATGTCCCTGCCTAGATATATATATATGTTAACATATATATATATCTGTATCTGTATCTGATATTTAAATAAGGTCCCTCTCTCCAACAGGCCTAGAAAGTCCCTGCCCAACCCGCCATTTTTGCGGAGCGGGATTGGGCGGGGCGGGGCAGGGCGGCCCGCGGGCTGCGGGCCAAATTGACAGCTTTATTCATGTTTCATAGGTTGGAGCGTGCATTCCAAACAATAATATTTGAGTGGAGAGATGCGGACCCACAAATGAAGAAACATGTGGTATTTGTCTTTTTTTTTTCCCTTTTTCTTTTGCAATTAATAAGATAAATTGCTCCTTTATTATCTTTATAAAAAACTGATTTGATTTGGAAAGTAATTCCAAAAATTGTTTTATGTTTATTTTTTCTTAATTACGTTTTTTCTTATGACTATTCATTAAAAAATGGTTTCCTAATTCTGATTTATTTGTTTTATAAGTCATTGACTAATTTAAATATATTGTTAACAAATATATGAGTTACATTTTTTGAAATATAATTCAAAAATTTCTAATTATATTATGAATATTTTTTGAAATATAATTAAAGATATAAAAGTGTATTAGTTTAAAGTATTTGCTTTATAATTATAAATAATTATATTATTTTTTATATGTATTTATGATAAATATATGAAACATTTAGATTGAATAAAAATAAAAATTTGGAGATATAATTTTAAAATATTAATATAAATGTAATATTATAATATAAATTAAAAGTAAATGGAAACATGTGGGACCCATAAAAAGGATGTTTATGAGGTTTATTGTTGTTGGAGATTTATGGGTGGAGGAGTAAGGATGGGGTTTTGGATGATGTGGCGTATTGGGAAGTGTAAATAGAGATTTATGGAGTTTGGTAGTTAAAGATGCTCTAATTAGTTATCCATAAATTTACGGAGTAATTATAGAAGGCGAGAAGCAAGGCCGTATTTCCACCCAGGTTTGGAAAAATCTCATCTCGGACGGACTGACGGAAGCCAATTTAGCGGTTCTCGCCGAAGTGTTCCCAAATTTGTTGCAGGGCTGGGGAAAAAGGAAACATAATGTTGATGCTCTCAAAATATGCCCTAAATATGATAAAGCCTCTGTACGAAACCAGTACTTAAAGTGCTGCTAAACTGAATATGCGCATTAACAACTCTATTACTTTTTTGGGTTTCAATGCCATTTACTTTTCCTGAATACATGATGATTTGAATTCTATAACTTGTTCAGCGTTGGGGCTCTTTGTGAACAAAAAGATTCTGCGCGATAACTTCAAAAGTATGTATTTTGAGAAAGTTCAAGTTTACATATCCGGCACGAGGAAGCAGAGGAAGGCCCTTTTTATAGAAGGCGTAATTGGCATAGTGAAGGCCAAGGTGGAAAAGAATGTCAACAACTCCGGTGCAACAATTCCTTTCGAAGTGGAGTTTAAAGGGCTGACCGGCATGCAATGGTTTTGGTTTGGTTACTGGACTAGTGTTGAGATGTTGAAGATGCTAAGAGAAGAACGAAGAAGTTTATGTTTTTCTTTTTTTTTTTTAATTTTGTTGTTTTAAATGCGCCACTCTATTCATAGAGTCGTTAATGCGCATTTTCAGTTTAGCAACATTTCCATCTTGAGTACTGGTTTTGTACAGCTTTTTGGACTAAAAATAAAATGAAAAAATATTTGCCCCAAAACTTCCATAGGAAAATATCAAAATTCACCTCTTTGCATAGGCTTTATCATCTTTGGCCAATTTTTTCAGTTCATCTATAGTGTGTCACAAAAGGATGACTTTATTATCCTCTTGATCACAGCAAGAAATACGATTTGCGTGTTTAAGACACGCAAACTTGTTCGAGCAGAAACTGAAACACACTGCAAATAAATGCAAGTCATAAAAGCAAGAAAAGCATTCTCATTTGGTGTTTAACATGCATTTGAAGAACTTGGAATAAAGTGAAACAGACAATTTGCACATTCTTTTTGAAAGTCGCTATAAAACAAGTTTGAAAACTTTTCTTTTAGTTAGGGTCACTCTGGAAGAGCAACCAAACGTGACTTTTGTGTGCGGCTCAGCCGAGCAATGTTGGGAAATGGTTCTGCTGAGACTTAATCAAGAAATAACGAAGCAAATACATTTGGGCAAGAAAGGATGACCAACTCTACAGCCCTCGACTAGCATCAACGAGCTCAAAATGTTTGGTTTTCATTTTCTGTCCATTGTTCAAGTACACTCTTAAAAAATCGAGCATCTAGAAACATAATTGCAACTTGGGACATATTTTATTTTCAATGCTAATTTGATCCTTTATACGAATATTAATTTTTAGATTATAATGTACTCACAAAATTGAGGCACTCGATCCAAATCAGAGTGCACGGAGTATTGGAAAAAACAAGCTCCTTCACAAGAAATCGATGTCAAGTTCAGAAGATAAATTAGGGGCTAATCAGAAGAGATTAAACGAACAAGAGAATGAAAAGTTACAGAAATTTTAGAAAGCCGAATGATTTTCTTATTTCTTTTTTTTAAAGAACTTTTTTAGGTGCTGAAGCTTTGGTCTCTTAGACTTTGTTTTATACATTTGGAGGCCGTTTGGTTGCAAAAAATTATTGGGCTTGATAGTATAATTAATGTTAGGCCAACCTTATCTAATGGTTTTCATCTCCCTTATTACAATGTTTGGTTGCATTTTTTAGGCCTGAAATAAGTAAGGGATAGAATTAATAAATTGTTTGTAGAGTCAGCTTGTTTGTAGCGGATGCAGGACTGTGCTTATGTACCCTAGAGGAGCTCCTAATGTTTTGTTGCTCTTTATGCAATGTGGTGTCTTCTGTGCTTCCACCCGGTAATCAATATTCTTTTTTTTTTTCGTTTCGAAACTTCAATTTTTTATGTGAAAAAATTGTGTCGTTTATCATTTTCGATGATTGCCACTATGCATAAATTGGGCATTTGGCTTTTTAAGTTTCTATTGTGTTGCTTGTGGATTGGTAATGTGTTTGTATTATTCTGCTTTTCATTGGTTTTCCTTTTTCAAGAATTTAGTGAATGTGAGGGGGGATTTGTGTTGGGATGGAAATGGCTTCATTCATTNATTGTGCAATTTGCCAATTCATCACAAATGTTAATGTTAGTGCCCTCAATTTTCCTAGTCTCTCTCCCTCTCTGTCTCTCTGAGCTCGTTGTTGTTGCGAAACTAACTAAAAGATTTAAGAGGTCAGATACACAAGATTTATTCACCAAATGAAATCGTCAGTTTCCTTTCTGTGTGACATTTGTTATTATACTTGTTGATGGACGTTTCCGATCAACGGTTAAAAAGTTAAGTAATGAAAAAGTAATGGGGAAAAGACAAAGAATTACGGTTTAATTATGATTTTATTAAAAGATCACGAGGCCGACCTCTCGTACGAGGTCGGCACTTGCGATATACTTACAGATTCTTACACGAGTTCCTTACAAACCTAGAGAGAGAAAATATAGAGAGAGCTTTTACAGTTGGGATTCAACAACCCAAAAATAAATGTGGGGTTGCTATTTATAGTACCCTTTAATGCGGCACTGTTCAGGTACTGTTCACCGGTCTTGTCGTACAGTAGTTCGGCGGGACAGGCCGACGCTTTTCTGACTGATAGGGGAGTGATTTCGGGGTCTTCCAATCATTACCTGACATGCATTTAATGTTAAAGTGGGCTGCATTTAATGCGGACATGCTTTTCGGCCGGTTTAGACGTTATAGACCTGCCGATCAGTCAGGGATGTCCCATCGACGATCATTACTCGTCAAGTGGCCTTATTTAACCACTTCTCGGGTCTCTGACCCCTTCGGGGACCGTCCTGATACGGTCCCAAGCTGGACCACGGTAGCGCGCCCTCCGATGTCCATGGCCTTTCGTCGACCCCGGCACTAAGCCAGGTCAACTTCGTAACGGGGGTGTAAGGGAGCCGACCCCCCAATCAGAGGAGCGAGGTGCCGACCTCGCGAGGCAGGAGGGCGAGGTGCCGACGCCGAGTTCAACCATTAAGGCCATCCTCGTTAATCCTAACTTCCACTCGGCTCGGCACCCACAAGCGGTGTCGGTATTCGGCTCCTTCGGTTCGGCCGGTTATCACTCGACTCCCGATCTCTCAGACCGGGCTTTCATTGGAGCCGGACTCGGGTATCAACAATACTTGTAATGATGAATAGCCAATTTATTGGGCAAATTTGGGAAAACTAAGGAAGTAAGGTGAAATACAATCAAGAAATGAAGAGTCTCTTATTACTATTCCTAAGTGGTTTATGTGTGCCTACTTTACTTTGTGAAAAGATGTAATGTTTACTGTCAAGCGAGAGATACAGCAATTCGTGTTAACTGGTAAAAGGAGGTGAACATGAAGATAAGTTCTGCTTGTCTAATCTGACGAATTAATATATTCGTTTGTTTTGTCTCAACTCAACCAGGCTATTATTTGTTGAGAACACCAAAACAGAGATCTTTACTGCATCTTTATCCCTCATACAAAAGTTTGTGATATCATATATAGATTGACATATTTTTTATTTGGATCTGTTTCCTATTATGCATCCTGGTGGGACGAGGGTCCATATTCCTGCAAACGGGCCTGGTTCTACATCAACACAATCCACTAACACGGTTTGTTTCCTTTTATGCACTTGCCCCCACTTTACAAAAATGTTGATTTTTTTGGCAAAGGTTTTAAATTCTGGGTTCTTGCTGCAGGGTACGAACCACACTTCGACTCAAACAGTTGTCGTGCAGAACCCCATGAGTGTTGATGAAAGTGGAAAATTGGTAAGTTTAGCAAAGTCCATTGTTCTCTATATGACTTTCCTGAGTTCCTTTTGTTGGGATCTGTGAGGATCTCGTTATGTACAAATCACGAATTCAATAGCAAACGTAAACCTATGCGCAGCGGATCTAAAGGTTTGACGTAGAGAACTTACGGCTTAAAATTTATGTAGATCTGGTTGACCACGAACGGTTGACCGCAATTGATTGACCGCAACACGCGTCTTGGGTTGCACGAACAAGATCAGATCAAAACTGGATCAAACGGATGCAAACAGATCAAAATGACTTTGCTGCCAGACACCTTCCGGCGGCGCGTGGGGGCGCGTGCGGCGTCGGATTCCGGCGACGTCTGCGGCGATGGAAAGCTCTCGTCGAGACGGTCGTCTGGGTATACTGTACGTCTCAATCGAACTTCCGGTTAGTTCTGTAGGTCAAAATCTATTTCGTCTCGGTTTACCTACAGATCTTCTACTGTATTACTCAATACACCCTTCTTCAACTTGTACCAGTGGAGCAACAAGAAGAAGATAAAGCTCGAATGAGATCTAGAGAGAGAGATGGTTTCACGTGAGAATGAGACTTCTATTCTCTTCTCATGAGCTTAATGATGTATATATAGAGCTACAGTAGGGACCCTAAGGAGATTAGGAAAAGGGCTCCTTAATTAATTAGACTAACTGTGGGCCAAACCCACTCCTCTAATTAATTAAATAATATTAATGGGCCACCAACATTATATTATTGCACTCCCTTTCCCTAGCCCAAATTACATTTGAGACTCCAATAATAATTACTCGATTTACCTCCCCACGTTTAAGATATAATGTCCATTAATTAATTCGATTACTGACAATCAAGAATTAATTAATTTATTATTATTTCACCGAAGCTAGCGCTCGTTCATCACATTCTTATTATGCCGGAATTTAATCCACCTGCAGGGTTTAGCATAACAATCCTTCATGAACTCACTCCGGGGACATCATCAAACTAACGCACATGGTGACCGTAAATATCCTAACAGCACATCCTATATATAATAATATTACCCAAAACAGTAGGAATATTAATCCAGCGAACTGAACCTCACCCATGTGAATCAAAGTAATATATATTATATATATCTGCCTGTTTAATATCTTACGGGTTAAGAGAACGCAGTAATTAACCGAGGCCTAGTTCATTTACGACGATCAGTATAAAATGAACTTCTCCTCTCTGGGATCCTGTTCAATACATAAATGTACTAGTGCAACTAATCAGTCAAGACAAACTGTACAGTTGACACTACAACCGTTCGGATGGGGTGTTCATGTCCATCTAGGTTGTGAACAACTATTCTTGTTCGCAAGTAACTGATAGAGTGATCTTCGGTTCGCCCGATGACGACCCACCCTATCTAAGTGCAGAACAACAGAACGTAGAACTTGTTTAATCTAACATGATTCTCATTCATAAAGGGTAAATGTGTAATAACATGCAAAGCAAAGCTTTCAGTATATAACACTAACACCTTTCTCCCGGTAATTAATGTGTGTCATCATTTGCACTAAAAAAAAAAAAATCTGACGTGATTCTTTTTTAACCATAGGTGAGCAATGTTGTTGTTGGCGTTACAACATAGGATTGCTATGAATCTGGACATCCTAGTTCGGGTATGAAGGGTTTGAAGATATCTTTGTGAATAATATAATCAATTTGGTTTGTAAACTACCTGAAAAAAAAAATTGTTTTTTTTTTCTGCCTTTACAA